GAAGAGTCCGATCAAGGATTATCCCGTCTTTAGGTGGCAGAATCTTGTACGTGTTCGTAAAATCCGATTTTCTGAGAAATAAAGTTAGTTTAGTTGTCTAATAATGTGTATATATGTATTTATGCTCAACTTGTCATACCCGTTACAAAGTCAAGTCGCGCCCGTCACAGTCGAATTTGGAACATATAATCTATAATACCCAATAGAGGTAAGCAACTTTGGCGTAAATGTTGAGAATGTTTATTTAACTATATAACGAACTATTTAAAACCATAAGCAGAAGACATAATTAGCAGAAAAACTCTGATGGAAGGAAGTAGTAGCTAATTTGGTTTGCGTACTCGTCACACCCGTCACAGTAACTAAAATTCAGATAACTCGTTCGGATTAAATTGTTTTTGAAATTTTTTTTCTAGGCATTGTGTATATCTCGGAAACTTATTAGAACTTACTCGTTTTAAAGAATTTAATATTACAGTTTAAGAATTAAGCCTTAAAATGAGAGTTGAAATGTCACACCCGTCACCGTGGAATGAGCCATTTGCATTTTGTTTGTTTTTAGAGCTAATAAAATTGTTGCAACGTAATGAAATGCGCTCAATTATTATAAAAACAAATTTACAAAATTCTCCTCTCAAAACTTTCCAACGGAGCAATTTAGTTTTTTTTTGCTATTGTCGGGACAATTTCTCAGATTGACAATCGTCAGTACCATTGCCAGACAATTGCCGACAATATACTAGTACTGTCACTATGCGGTTCCAACAACTATCACAGTTGTTTGTAAGAAGCTGTGAAACAGTAAAAATGTTCTCGCTCTTGCACTTTTCCATGAAAATCGATAATTGTCGCGTATATCTTTCAATGAAATTGTCCAGCTTTGCAGGGGAATAATTTCTATTTGTTGCCGCATTGTAAAGTTGTAAGTAAAAAAATAAGTTGAAAATAAATTTCATTCCAGATGGGTACAAACCGGATCATTCTTATGCAACTATCACGTTTTCACTCTATCATGGAACTTAGAAGGAACGCGCCTTCTAACCGGCGGATCCATTATAGAAATGTGGAAAGAAAAAACTTCAGAAAAAGTTGAAGAAAGTTCAAATGGTAATAAAGGGGGATTCATGGCAACAACTTAGAAATCTGTATGCAATATAAAGTTTTTCACATAAAAATGATTTCAGGTGTCAAATTCGAAATTGGCGGGGGTGACCGCGGCAACAAAACACCAACTAATGAGCCCCAGGATGAAGTAGTAACATGGGACACTATATGGTCGTGTCAAACTGCAATTCCCATTTATCATATGGCATTCAGTCCCGATGGTACCCTTTTTGCGACATGCGGGCGAAATGACAGACTTGTGAAAATTTGGTATGAAAATAAGCAAGGTAAGAAATATTTTCCAAAATATAATGTTAAGATTGCCGCTACCATATATAATTTATTTATTGCAGTTCTTTTTCCTTCTAAAAACGGTACTAAAACTGTCTTTGGAAACGATGCAGAACTTAATTTTACATATGTTTATATTGCACACCCTCGTGCAGTAACAAACATCGCGTGGCGTAAAACAAGCAAGTATATGCCGAAGGGATCCGTATCGAACATGATAGTAACGTCATGTCTTGACAATATCTGCCGTATTTGGATCGAAACTGTATTACCAGATGATGGTTTAATTAATATGACCCAATTCGATCCGTTAGCATCACAAAATCCAAAATTTAGGACACAACGCCACAAACATCGTTTCATGCAACGATTAAAACATATGAAGACCTGTTTTCATATTAGAAGGCACGCGAAAGCGGGGTCTGGAATTACTAATTACCAAGCTAATGTTTTAACTGACGCATTTCACGGACCAATACCGTCTTTACCGTCATCTTGTAGTGTTCACGACTTTCATTCATATGGGTTTCATAGCACGGGCGTATCTCCCGGTATGCATTTTCACTTGGCGGCGTCAATTAATGCTGAAACGGATATTCCACTTGTTCCTTCAATGCATTCGTCGGATAGTTCTAATCAAAACAGCTTTATTTTACATTGGCTTAATAATAAGGAAATGAATTTTTCCCTTCAGGCTGAAGTTATACTCCAGGAACTGACTAAAAAAATAATTGACGAAGAAAGTACTAATACGTCAAATAATAATGTCTCTGAACAGCAGGAACTAGAAGTTGCTGATGAATCTAAAAAGAAGTTTTTCCGGGCTTTATCGAAGTCATTGTCGGCAGAAGATAGTTGCTCGGAAGAGTACAAGATTTCACCTCATCAGAGTAAGACTGGCATTTTACAAAATACGAATTCAATGTCGAACACAGCATCTCTGAATTCTTTAAACGAAAACAACCCGACCATTAATCATTTTGCTGACTCTCTGGACTTCAAAATTGAATGTTTATTAAGGGATTGGCACCAAGGTCCCGATCTTGTATTTGCAATTCATCCTATAGATGGAAGTTATCTTATATGGGTAGTTGATTGGCTGGATGATTATTACCCAGGATCCTTTCGCCAAGCACAAATTTCGTTCTCCACACGCATTCCATCTGCGTTTCCACTCGGTGACGCAATGTCTATGTCAACAACAGTTAGTTTGTACAATACAGGTTCTCCGCCTCTAATTTTTCGAGAAATTGCAAACAGCGTGAAAAGTAGAAGCGAAGAAAATACATCACTAAAAGAATCGCCTAATTCTTCCCCTATGAACAAACCTAACAATCCCGAAATAAACGAACAGTGCTTCAACAATCTAACAAACAGTCTTTCGCCGTCTGTTTCTATGGTAACCAAACATTCCAATGGAACCTTAAACTTGTGGCAACTAACTTTTGCTCTTAAAACGAAATTTACTCAAGTTCTCAGCATTGGTCATGTTTGCAGAGCTTCCGGACACCGCTTCAGAGTTAACGATATAACTTGTCATCCCGTTTTACCACTTCTTGTCTCAACTTCTCATCATAATTTGCCAGAATCCGAAAAGAAATCACCTTGTAGTGCTGAAAATCTTCCTTACAACAAAGATGTTTTTACTCCTTCTGGATTTTGCTCTGAACTTATTTTGTGGAGAGTCGATTCCGTTGGTCCACTTTGCCATTCGGGTGGAGTAAGTGAATTAGCACGCATTAATTCCCCTGAAATATCTGCATTTAGCAACGTCGCATGGATTCCAACTCTGCTTCCGAGTACAACCTTAGGAAACAGTAGTAATTCCCCATCAGCTTGTTTTGTTGCCAGTGATGGGGAAAATCTACGAGTTTATCAAGCAGTCATCGATGCACGCACCCTGCTTGCAGAGATATCCTCTTCGGAAAATGTTCATAGCTTCTATAAAACCAATTCAATGACATCAATTTATTCGAATGCTTCATCCACCTTTAAAATGAGAAAAACACCATTTCATGAAAAACTTAAGGTTGTGTCTCAGCAATCTACTGCACGTCCTGGATGCATAATTCAACTTGATCCAATATCAGAAGCTAAACACGATTGGCAGAACACTCAATTTCTACATGTTTTCCAAGCACAGTTGATTGATGGAGGTCATCGAATGGAAACGGATTTAGATGCAATTGTTGATCTTCAACAACATTTTGAATTTAAAGAGCCTTTTTATATCGTCATAATTGAAAAAACTATTAAAGGGAGTACAATTCATATGTGGCGTATCATTATTTCCTCAAAGGAACAAAAAACTTTTCTATCAGATACCGCAATGTATGTTCCTGACAGCAACATTGTACAAGATATGGAAGAATCCGACTTAGCGCAACGAAGAATGTCAGGCGCTAATATATTACTTAACAATTGTGAAGAAACAGGTAGTGATACAGCGCATATGACTATACAAACAGAAAAAGTTTGTACTCAAGAGCTGCCTATGCCCGAAGGGGTTGATGTCATCCATGCCTCCCCAGCCGCTGGTCATTTAAGTTCTTCGTCTATTTATCCGGCTTGTTATGCTCCCTACATAGTAGTTACTGCCTGTTCAGATTCGATTTCCCGATTTTGGAAATGCGAAACTATTTCAGATGATACTGAAGATATCTCTAAAAAGATATACAAATGGGCCGAATGGAAAATGTCAAGTAGAGTACAGGATTCAGCTATAGAAATTCCTGGACAACCTTTAAATATTAGTGCGGCGTATTCTGGACGAGTAGCCTGTGCTTATAAATATGGAAAGAGCTTCACTCGTCCAAATAAAGGTGACCCAGATTCGAGATATATAAATCTTTGCGTGGCTATTTATGAATGTGAAAGCTCTGGTGGGAGCGAATGGGTACTAGAAGATACAATTCACTTAAAAAATGTACATTTACCGCGAATGAACATTGATCATGGCATCGATCTTAGTTATTTACATGATAGTCGACTACTGCAAAAGAAACAACGTCTGAACCAAGTCTTCCAAACATTTACGCAAGATGACGCCAGATCACCACGAAGTGGTGATACAACACCTGAACTCACAACAAAAACGAGTGCTACAGGACTCCTTGCAGTTCCAAGTTTTAGTACGCTACAATCTTTGAGAAAAAGTATCGCTGAAAATGGAAATACGTGTCCATTAACTCAAAAGCATCTGGTTCAATTAGATTGGGTATCAAAGGAAGACGGTTCGCACATATTAACAGTGGCCGTAGGCAGTAAAATACTTCTGTATACTGCTGTTTCATCAGATATCGCCCAGGCTAACATCAAAGCCATGAAAGTGTCAAGATCAGCAAACCGGCCAATTTTGCGTAAAGCAAGTTCTTTAGCTCAGCCACATTTTAACGACGAAATACGTTGGATGAAATTGCGGCAAATTGACTTACATACGGCCGATGGTTTGCCACCATTACCTATGCAAATATCATGGGTTCGAGATGGAATATTGGTGGTAGCAATGGATTCCGAAATGCATGTTTATTCACAATGGAAGCCTCGCTTTAACCAGGAACATAGCGTGGAAGACCTCTTCGATTCTAGAAATCTTCGCGATGAAGATTTGAGATCCTTGGCCAACGAGTCAACGCAGTTACGGCTAAAAACTGCGTCATCCATACCATTAATAAGTAAAGTGAGCACTACTAATCTGCAATTGCTCTCTAACGAAAAACGGAAAAGATATGGAAACTCAAACACAAGTGTACCAACGGGATGCGAGTCAGCGGGCGATGATTATATGCCTGATTTTGGTTTATTTCAGGCTTCTCGTATAGCATGCCCGGTACTTCCACAATATCACCCAAAGCAACTAATGGAGCTGCTTAATTCGGGGAAAATAAATTGGGTCAAAGCAATATTAGCCCATTTAGTGCGCTGCATGAGTGGTCCAAACGAATACACATCCACTTCAGATGACGGAAGCTCAGAGAAACAGGTAAATATTAGGGTACATAAAAATTATTGTTGTAGCGGCTAGTTTTGTATGTTGTGTGAGACGCTTTTTAACGAGCTACATACGTACGGACATGCCGGTATTAGAAAACAAGTTTTTTGTTTCTTATGAGTAAAAATTGGTGATGTGGGCCACCAGTTTTTCGAAGGTCGAACTTTTTTTTTGTAATTATCTATTTATGCCTCACAACGATAAAAGAAAAATACAAGTTTCACAATTTTTCGAAATTCGAATTATTTTGGAAGTTATAGCTATTAACATTTTTCGAAATTGTTTAGATTTTAATTGTTTTCTCGCGATTGGTAATACTGCTTCTGCTAATTTTAATACTAATTTAATAATTTTAAACAGTTAATAATGATGATGTTTTCTTCCCATTTTTATTTTTTATTTGGTCATAATTTTTTTTTATAAAAGTTATTATTTTTTTTTTTATAATACTGACATCTCATGACCTAAAAATCGCGTTTTGGGCTAATTTGGCTGTACGTTCTATTAACAATTATTTGCAGAAAAAAAGTTTGCCGGAATACATCGAGACGAAAGTTATTCACGCTTTTCTCTTGACGCCCAATGTAATTTGTATGGAAAACGTTTGCCGTAGATATTTATCTCGCATTTTCAACAAGTATCGATTGACAGCGAGTCTAGCGCGCTTGCGATACTCATTTCAAGAGAAAAACGTTAATAACTTTCGTCTGGATGAATTCCGGCAAATTTTTTTTCTGCAACTAGTTGCTAATAGGACGTACAACAATACTAGCCTAAAACGCGATCTTAAAGCAATTGAGATGTCAGTAATTAAAAAAAAAAAATGTAATAACTTTTATATAAAAAATTTTATGACCAAATAAAAATTAAAATGGGAAGAAAACATCATCATTCTTAACTGTTTAAAAAATTATCAGAATCTGTATTACCCGTTGCAAGAAAACAAATATAATCTAAACAATTTCGAAAAAAGTTAACGGCTATAACTTCCAAAATAATTTCGAAAAATTGTGAAACTTTTGGCAATAACAAACCTCCGAAAGTATTTCTGCCATGAAAGTCAGCTTCTCATAAAAAGAAATCGCCGTTCGGAGTCGGCGTAAAACTGTAGGTCCCTCCCCTTTGTGAACAGCATCAAGGCGCACGCCACAAATCGGAGGAGAAGCTCGTCCAGCCACTAACGTATGTGTAAGCGCCAATATATTAGCATTATATAGCATTTGCACATTTATTTAAACCAAACGCAAATTAATTCAATCCAAACACACATTAATTTAACCCAAACGCAAATTAAGTTAAACCAAATGCAAATTAGTTTCACCCAGCGAAAATTAAATTAAACCAAACGCAAATAAATTTAAACCAAAACGTATCATTGCCATTGTCGATTAGTTACTTGTAGTTTGAATCTATAGCAGTAGTGGGAATTTCATATCACGCTAGTGTTGCCACAGAAACATTTTTTTTCCTACCAAAAATTCTTACCATAACCAACTAAAACCTACCAAAAATTTTTTTGAGTTTTAATATTTGTTTTCAATGTCAAATTTATTTAAAACATAGCCAACATAACATTTAGCAAAACTAAAACACAGCTAGTAAAATAAAAACGAATTAACTACGTATAACGATTCATTTTACTGTACAGACTTATCCAAATGTATGTCTCTTTACTCATACATATGTACGTATCGTCATTACAAACGAATAAAGACACGAGCTCAAAAGTTGACAGCGAAAAAAGACGCGTAAAAAAATGTCGGCGAAGAAAGACTCTTAACATAGGTGACGGCAAAGAAAGCCGCGTTAACCTCTTTGACGGCAAAGTAAGACACATAGACTTATGTTCGCGGTCAACTATGTTTGCGAGTGTAACAGTATACTTTTTCCCCAAAGAGTTTTTCCGGAATGATGTTGAATTCATGTTTACGCGTCTTTTTTCGCAATTTTTTTAACGCGTCCTTTTTCGTCGTCAAAACACCCGAGCATATTTATTCGTGTCTCGTGACGATATTATTATTATTACGTAGGAGATACCCGCGACCTAAGATAATATAAATAAAGTGCTAAATCCTAATTGTTATCAGCGCTTTGGATGATGTTATGATCCAAATTTTAGATGGAGAAGACAATCGTTCTCCAAGGTGTATCAATCTACGATTCATGCTTCGTGGACAGGCACATAGAATATACTCTGGGCTTTCCTCCACCAGCCCACAAAACCTACAGCGTCTACAGAAAGACCCATTTAATTCAAACGATACGTTAACTTGCAGTGTGCTGTCAGGTTGCCAGTAAGAGTTCTAAGTTCAAGGTGCCTTTCGGAGTTCCTCTTGGAAAGAGTTATGCATCTCCATTATTGTCTTATTCCCTTTGATTTCCGCAGTGGACAGAACTGTGAGTGCAGTGTATCATGCACCGCAGAAAGGCTCGGGACCATGTAAACGCATTTGGGCTCCACGCTTAGCGAGACAGCAGCAATTTCGTTGCCTTCAAACCCTTCATGTTCCTGAACCCTCCACAGCGTTACGTTATTGTGGGCTCCCAAGTGGTTCAAGAGTTCACAAGCCTTGATGTCGTTTTAAAAGACTCTAAGGTCTTTAACGCTGCCTGAATATCCGGCATAATACGTATTGTGGCCTCATTTGCCTTCTACGATGACACCAGCGAATCAATCGATTGCGAAGACCTCCGCCTGGAATATGGTTGGGTACGAGCCCATTGGCAGACTTTTCTGCAATCTTGGTCCAAGTACGCCATAAATTATATCGCAAACTAAAGGTGAAAAGCTGCCAAGTCCATTTTTTTTTAAGTTTAGTTTTTGATGCAGGCATATTTACATGTTTGCGGCCGCCGTTGTACGAACGCACCGGTGAAATATTCGTGTAAAAAGGGTTGCTAAAATGTTTAGAGATACATATTTTCTATTTTCCGCAAAATAACTTTTACTTATTCTCCCGAAACCTACCAAAATCCAATCAAGCCTACCAACCTACCAACTGGAAAACAACCTACCAGTTTTGGTAGGAAAAGCCCATGTGTGGCAACACTGTATCACGCGTACAGCTCAACTGTACGCTTTTCAAACGTATATGCTCACACACAGGGTTGCCACTGACGAAAAAAATAGTTACCATCCACTTGAGAAAAATCTACCAGATCTGGAAAATATCTACCAATACATTTTTATAGTTATTTTATTAAAAACAATAGCTTTGTTGTTTTTTATTTATTTTAATTAAAACTGTTGCTTTTTATTTTTTTTTAGTTATTTCAATAATAATTAAAATTGTTTTTAAGGAGCTTTTTATTTAACTAATTATACGGTATTTGAGTCATATTATTGGCATATTCTCAGTTTCCTTCAACCAAAAGGGGAAGTGATGAAACTAAATGCAACGAAACTTCTTAATTTGAAAAACTTCAACTCGAGTTATTATAAACAAATACAGTGACTCAAAAAAGCACTTGGTGTTTTTCTAGTAAACATTTTTTTATTGCTTTAACTAAATCCATAAAAATTAAGGATTCAAACTATATACAACATTTAGAAAAATTTAAACAATTTCCACCAAATTTCGAATTTTTTACTCTGAATTTTAAGAACAATTTAAGGTACCAAGTTTTAAAGCAAATAATGCTTAAGTATAGCTCGCAATGTGCTTCCCGTTGATTTTTTTTTTTAATTTTTTGCCGTCAGTCTTTGGTGTTTTTTTTTTATTTAACAATTTCTATTGATAAAAAATGGCGTTGATTTCATTTTTTTGCGAACAATCATAGTGCGTCATTACATACCTGTCAATTTTTTCTTTATATGTATTTAAATAATCATTTAAAATATTTAGGCAATCAAAAGCTCCTCGGGATTCCAGTAAAATGAGTTTTGAATAGAACACGATATGTTCGCGTTATATCAATATACATTTATACGTATGCAAGTATGTATATAAAAAGTATGCAAAGAAATTTATAATATAAAGATAACTACGTAAAAGAAACGAAAAGTTCAACAAAAGTCTACCAAAATGAGAAAAAATTTACCTTTTTACCAACCCAAATTTTTTCTACCAATTTTGGTAACAATTTACCAAAGTGGCAACTCTGCTCACACATTACATTGCCGAACAAAAAAACGAAATTCAACCAATGAATCAGTCTGGCATAAGCTCTTGCCGAGGCATGTTGCATTGTTTGCGCGCTCATAGCACGCAGTTTTTTTGTCGAAAATTAGGAGTTGTGCTTGCGCTTTTCTTAAATTGCAGAAGCGTGCGCATACAACCTCCTCGTTTCAACTGAAGTAATCGACTGAATGACCGAGTCGTTCGCTCTCGGCCAAAGACACTACCACATGCTCAAAATGTGATAGTGTTAGTGTGCCCATCACGGTTGCCATTTCCAATTTATTTTTCGGACCAAAAAATGGACCAAATTGTAAAAAATGGACCAAATTGTAAAAAATGGACCAATTTTTTTTCATCGGGAAATCGAGTGGAGTTTATTCCTCTTTATCAAGAAAATATGTCAATTCAATTTTTATAACGATTTTATTTAAATTGCATCCAAAGTGCATTACAATTATAGGTAGAATCTGGAAAAAAATGTGGTAGATTTCAAAAAAATGTGGTAGATCTCTGGGTTTGGATCAAACTTTGTACAAAAATTAAAAAAATTCTGGAAGGTTTCACCTAAATTGCAAAATTTTTAATTAGACTCTAAAAAAATTTAATTTTAGTATAATAAAGTGCAAGATTGAAGTTGCTAAAAATTGCGTTGAATTTTGGCAATTTTTTTCCTTGACAGTGTAAAGCAGTTCCTTCCATATCAAGATATTTTTCGAACATAATTATTCTAAGAAATTTCTGCAACCTTGTGGAGTGCTGTCAGCTTTTCTTTTTATCACATCACGAAGTAGCGAACAAATGTGGCATGTTCCAGAAAGAGCTAATTGGGATTTGCCGATTTTGACAATTCTCAAGTAAAAGTAAACAACG